CATGTGAGTGAGTCTTGAGCTCAGGACTAATGGTGCCTTCTTTTTTGTCCAGTGTGAAAGGTTATCTTGCTGGAAGCACCAGCTGTCTTGTTGGCTCTTCCTTGTGGTGCAGGAAGGAGCTATTAGCTGTTAACATATAAAACAAAACCTTACTGGTTTTCTTCAAACAGAAACACAAATTGGAGAAGAGAAAGAAATGAAATGGAACAAGGCAACAGATGGTGTTAGCTTAGGAAAGAGGAACAGAATGGTTTGAGACCCTTGCCTGCATTTGTGTCAGTTATGTTACTGCCCTTAAGATTTAGCTCCTCTCTGCCAAATGGTTTACAAGCCATGGGGTCAAGTAAGAAACAAGTTTTTGTTAAAATGACAGATTTGTTCCTTTGGTACACAAATACCAGAGTTATTTTTGATAATATACTGACAAAAGCAAGGCAAATCTAAATAAATAATAACCCAGAAAACATCTCCAGCTCTGTTTCACTCCGATTAGCAGTTTCCGGACCTCTTACTGAGCAAGTGGGATCCTGTTCCATCAACCAAAAAAACTCATTACTCTGATCTAGGTACTTATATATGCACCATTGCAGTGGTTGCATCAGATCTAGGTCATGCAACTCCAGAAGGAGTGATGCTGCACTGGTTTGGCATTGAGAACCTTTACTGCTTATGGTGACGAGCAAGAAGCACGAGCGAGGGAGTGTAGAAAGGGATAGTCAGGAGAGGTGGAAAAAGTGAAATCTGGCATGATTTGGTGAAATTTATAGGGCTAATAGAGGGTCTTGCTCTATATTTGCTGATAGGCATAGCACACTTGACAAGGAAATACTGAAGAGGCAAAGGTGTCTGATAACATTGGACTTGTGCTGTTTTCAGTGGTTGGTCCAATCATAATGTGTAGTTCCAGACAAAGCTTTGCAGGGAAGAGAAGGTAGTTTATCTGTATCATCCACTTCAACTATAAGGATTAACCCTAAGGGTTAACTGTGGTTGGAAGGAATGAAACAGCAGAATCATTTTACAGTATTTCTGGTCACACTGAGCAATACCTGCTCCCCATTTTTTTTCAGCCTCACAGCCTCCCCTTTTTCTCTCTGAATTATCAGAGACATTAACAAGCGTCTTCTCCACTCCCTACTTTGACTGATCTTTCTAATTAGGAGCACTGAACAAATAGCTCTGAGGAACAGCCTGGCAGTAGCAAGCAGCCATGGTTCACTGCACGCAGGGCATGGAAAAAGCTCAGCTCTCCCAGGACAACGTGAAAGCTACAACCAGTGACTAAGCATTAGCCCGATAACTGCTCTCCAGGGAATCTGAGACAACCCCTCCAAGCATTTCTGCCTATTTCCATGCACGGAGGGATCAGACAACAAAAAACACTCCTTGAAACAATTCCCTACCTCTGATAAATACACACCTCCCATCAACTAATGACTAAACAGCACTGTCAAGCTTTGCCTTGTGATCCACATCTACAAACATGTCCAGGGTGAAGCCAATACTAAAATATGTTTTTCTGTGTAAGAGCTGTGCTCTGTGCCATGCAGACATGGCATTTCATTAAGCACAGAGTAATAGCTTGATTCCCTCAGGGACTCTCTGCAGGAAAATAGAACATCTCCTTTCATAAATAGGCAAGGTCACTATGTGCCACTCATTCCTCAATGAACATGTTCATTTTGGAGTTGATGCTGAGATAACTGAGTATCTGTTCATTATACGTTTCATATTAATGCAATAATGCATCTTCATCTAAAACTAATTTTACAAGATCTGAGGAAAACTCGCATTATATTACATTTCAATGCCATTGGCTTAGCTACTACAGAATACAGTGGAAGAATTCTGATTTATGCCCAAACCATTTTTAATATTTTACTCTTCATGTTGGATTCCGAATTTGAAAAATTCCAGATAAGAAACATTTTAGAAGCACAAACTAAGCTGTTTTGCCCCTTCACACCTCACCGCCCTTTTGTGACTTAAAATTGCTTTTTTATTTAACAGCAGTCATCTTCCGTCATATTCACATGTACACACTGTGAACAAGACAGTTCACAAATGTGACACCTCAAAGTTTAAACCCCTGTAGCTATAATGTTAGAAATCACCAAAATTTCACAGAGATATATGAAGAGAGATCAAAACTGATAGGCAATTTCTTTCAAAATATTGTTAAGTACTACCAAAAATCAGATGTCCTCAGAGGACCTTACCTGAAGAACCTAAGCATTATGCAGTGCAACCAATTCCTGCCATCTACTTAGCTGTTTTCACCTCATTTCACCCCAAATACTATTTTTACCTGTTTGTTTAGAATATTTAGAAGCTGCCAACCTGTTTTTCTCTATTCCTCTGGTTCCTGGGAAACTTCCCTTCTGGATATGAAAATGAGAAATTACAGAGGATAATAGTGGGCCAAGGCATAACATAAAAGAAGAAAGAGTTACTTTCAAAGTGGATGTGTAATCAGTCAGTAAAGGAGATTACATAGGGCAGAATACAAAAGAGAAATAAAAGTATTTTCTCCTAAAACCAGATAAAATACTGCATTGCATTAAATCCAACAGCTTGTGGGGGAAAAGAATAATTATGCAGTACAGATTAGAAATTACGTATGCACACGTAAGGAAAAGAAGGGATTTTATTCTGAATTGTCCTGTGTTTACTCAAATATATGCATTCTTCATCAGAGATTATAATCAGGAATGTCAAATACAAATGTTGCCTGAAGAGGAATAAGCTTTTGCTGCATTTTTATTTGTTATGTAGCTCAAGGTTTTCCCAAACTAGAGAATGCAAACCACAACTGTAAATGAAAGTGTAGTCTCTAGATTGTGAATGACTGACTATGTGGCTTAAAGACATACAGCAAATTCAACTGGAAACAATCTGCAAAACTGTTAAGAATAATGTTTCTTGCTCTGTTCATCTGCCATGAAATTAACAGTCACTGGAATTAAGTTTCATTTCTAGAAAAAAAACAAAGGCTGTCAACATTTTCGCATGGAAATAGCCTTTGAAGAGTTGGGTTTCTGCCTTAGGGAAGTATTTTTGCTATATTTTAATAAGAACAGTATCAAAAAGGCACCTTCTTCCTTGAAGGAACCTGAATGAGTTGTGAGCATATCCCTAGAGTTTTTTTCTTTTCAAGGCTACAGCAACCTATCTTAGTGACTTGCCTCCTTCTTTTGTTCATTTGAAACATGTTGAAGCAGGCTGTCAAAGGTTCAATGAGAGGTTATCAAGTCCCGTTTGCTGTTGGCATATCTAAAACTGCTGACACATACTAGGAAAAAAAAAGGCACATCTAGTCCAGCTGCAGCAATAAAAGAGATCTTAGGGAACCTCTCCTGGAGCAAACACCACCACTAGGCTGTGCTGGCCAACTGAAGAGTTAAGCCAGTAATATTTATACATAAAATGCAAACAAAGCTTATAGAAGTCCTGGAAAATAGCTAGTTTTGTCATTTTCTTAGTGGTTTTAAAAAAAAAGAAGGCAAAAAACTACGCAAGCACATCACATTTGGGATTTTGTTGTTTTACAATGAAAACCACAGTCTTCAGTGATGAAAGCTGTAGAAACAGCTGAAAAATGTTAGTTGAAAAGCAAAGTAATGAAAAATTGCGTGTTTGACAGACTTCCAAAAAAGCAACCAACGTGATGGTTTCCTTTTCTATCACTCAGAAATTTTCCTGAATATGAAAATACCTACCCTCTGTTGAAACCACACCAAAATAAAAATAAATCAAACTCTGTTGTTCTAGCTCGATCCCTCAAAGCATTTAGGAAGAAAAATGCATACCTTCTCCCAGAGTTTCTTGTCTCTAAGTAAGTTATCTATAGAGCTATTTTACCTCTACCTCCAGTAGAAGGAGGAGGAGCAGTTTTCCAGTCAAGTCTTGTTTAAAGTTTTAGACTAACACTTTAAAGATATGTTGACATTTCTTAGATTAATTCCAAGTAACTCCTTGCTTACTAGACCAGATCTGCCTGTCCCCTCATTTCACATCAGCTATGTACAAATTCACACTAGCAGTAAGCATTAGCTAGAACTCTGGCACTTGCCATAGTTGGAGGAGTCTGAGCAAGTTCATGACCTCACCACTGGCCTAAGCTCCTGAGGACCTTGAGGTCCTCAGGCCAAGTCTATTCTAGATAACTGGTCTAGCAGTTTCCTCTTACAAATCTTTACATCAAATGCAGCAAAGGGCTTTGACATCCTTCTTGACACTAGAGATCTGGATTTCCTCACTGGGGCAGCAAGTTAAAAGCTCAACAGAAACAAGCCACATGGGTGGAGGTCATACAGGTCTGTTCTTCAACTCACAGGTCTCTCTTAGTCTGTGTTCTGCTGCAAGCAACTTCAGAAAACACCCTTTTCAAATTCAACAGTATTCTACCACTTCGTAAGTAAGGTTAAACTGAAGCTGACATGAGAAGATGGAAGATGCCCTATGATACTGCAGCAATTTACAGCCCACTATACATTGCTACTAGGCTTTGTCTTATGAAATGATGCTACTAGGCTTTGTCTAATGAAATTAATTTAATGCCCCAATAGGGGAAAGGAGTAGGGTGTGAAGGGCTCACACTTAAGTTTTAGTTTTGAATGCTAATGTTTGAATATTAAACTTTGAAAGTGGGGGAAGAAAAAGTTCATGAAAGCAAAATGCTGCTCTTCTTGCAAAAAGGAAATTTGCTAAGGTAACACACTTTTGAAAAAAATAGTTCTCAACAAACAGCAATGCAAAAAGGAAGAAAAACAATTACAACATTACAGTGTAAAATGCTGCATCACCTACCAAAATCAAACAGATCCAGGTTTATTCATGTACAAATTTTTGGTTTGTATGTTTTAGACACAACAAAAATACACAACGGTTAGAGCAGAAGATGGTATTTTTTTCTTCAGGAACTGAGTATAACATAAGTCCTTTGCTTCACCCAGATAAACGGATTTCAGATTAGACTAGAATAAAATACAGACACTTACCTTGCATTTCAACATATTGGCTACTCTCTCTTGCATTGATTGTCCAGCCTTTGGCCTGACAAGTATATAAACTGCTTTGACTTCAGGGCTGGAGCGCAGAAGCTTTTCCACCAGTACTTTGCCCATGAAACCTGTAGCTCCTGTGATAAGTACGGTCTTTCCATTGTAATATGCTGAGACCGAAGACATGGTGCTTTTTTGTTCTGTCCTTCCTTTAACTTCTTCCAGGAGGTACCTGAGAAGATGCAGAAAAAAAGCTTTAAGGCCTTTTGAGTCAAGATATAGATCAGGTTTTTTGGGAGATACAGTCTGAAATAACCTTTCCTAGTCAGCTCTGGCAGCTCACATTAGTTCAGTCAATGGAAAGTCTAAAGATGATTTTTTTAAAAAGCCTTTATTATGAAAACAAACCACAAAAATTAAGAAGGTTGATCTGAGAAGCTTAAAAAATCAAGCTGAGCCTTATCCTCCATATTACACAATAGCTGCACCCAGCAGTCACAGTTCAGAACATAGATTGTGCTGTCCAAGACTCCTAGCAGTAGATGCTCACTGTAGTGCTGAATAGCATTTATCTCCCCCACAGTGAAGTGGCAGCCATGAAGATATGCAGTTATCCCTACAAGAAAAACAGATCCCATCACAAACACTGCAGGTATGAATGCTGTACCAAGCTGTTGCATTTCTTGTCAGCCATCACTCAGCAATGTGCTCAGTCTTTTCCTGTTGTATTGGCTTGGAATAAAACCATGAAGAAAGCTCTTCTTCATGGGAGATACAATGCAATGACATTGCTCTGCAAAACTGTAATATCATGCTCCTGTGTGTAGGTCATCACCCATTACTGGCTGCCAAGGCCAAAATTCATCCCACTTAACTCTATGGAGCATAGGTGTCATACGCTTTTTCTGGAGAGTTTAGGTTGTTTGAACTGCCCTTTGAAGATCCACTGACTATATAAGTGGGCTGACATGACTAGGGTCCCACGTGAAGTGTCCCAGTTAAGTATTTTAATTAGATATAATCGTTTCAGCCTACACGTCCCCAGCCATCCCGATTCAAACTCTAAGTTGATTAAATGACAAACAAGGCTCAACTGAATCCTCTTAGAACAGCCCCTCTCTCTATTAGACTAACGGAAGGAAAAAATCCTTCCTATCTTTGAAGTGCTGCAAGATCACAGCATGAACAAACCATTTACATTGCAAGGGAAAGGTTCATTAAAAATATAAACAAATGTTTGGAAAAAGCTTCTTAAATTGGAAACAAAAGGAAGCAAGAACAGTAGAACACTGTCAATCAAGTATTCAAGAACCAGGACAGCGATCTTCAAGTACCCCAGAAAAACTTCTCTTCCTCCTGCAGAGGCTTCAGAAACACTGTTGGCCATTTCAAATTTCTCAACATGACATGAGTCAACTGCATGCTAATAAAATGCAAATACATCAAAACAGAAATACTGCACTTGCTGCATTTTTGCAGTCTTCCAAGATTCCCTATTTTCACCAACCCTTTTGCATTTCTGAAACCTAGTAAACCATTCAGGGACAGGGAAGTAGCCTAACTCAGAGCAAAAGCTGCAAGCCTTCATACAGAAACATCTTATATAATGAGTCCTTGGCTTGGACCAACACAAGTGAACAACAACAAAGAGTTTAAAGTACTGTAAGAACCCTGGCTACATGTGATGGTAGGTAAAATTCCCTTACACCACATGGGACCATGAGAGAAATATCACGTGTCCTACAGCCCATGCCTTCCTCAGGATGTAGTGAAGTACCTTACACCAGAAAACTGACCACCAGCTGTGTGAATCAAGAAGGACAGAACAGATCAACCCTTACAAGGTGTACTGTGGTCACTGCAACACTCAGAAATGTGCTTAGCCAGACTGCGATCCCTAAGGCATTACACTCACAGGAGTGAAAAGCGATCCACAGCCTGTGTTAATGTACTGTCATTATCTGGGTCTATAGCTGATGCCTCTACCCAGCCCTGACTTTTCATTCCTACCAATCTGCCAGTTTTCACAATCCCTGTACTGTTACATGGAAACACTGAATATGTATTTTTAATGGGCTATAGCCCAGACATATAAACGAGAGGCTCAGCCCAACAAAATATTGTTCTTCTTTCCCAGTGCTGCCTGGGACTGCAGTACACAGCATCAAAAAAATAAAAATCCCCAAATTTCTTTATCCGTAATGAATCATCAGGTGTGCCATCCAATTTAGAAAATAGGTCAGGCAGAGTAACTTCTGAAGGACACTATTTTACAAATTAATAGCTGTAGTATTCTGGCTCAGTGAATTTGGGTATTAGCCTGCTTTCAGATATGGCCTAGATCACAATTTAAATGACTGTAACAGGCTTGTCTAGGCCTATTAAAAACCCGTTCTTATCAAAGAGCTGGCCACTTGGGAAGTTAAACAAACAGGTTAAACTATTAGATAATTAACTTATTTACAATAAAATGTCACATCTCACTCAGGTTCAGAAAAACTGAGTGATATTGGAAGACAGGAACTTGCAGAACCTGGAAGTATGTGAAAGGGTGTGCGAGTCCAAAAGTAGATGTTACTTTAGCCAGATGAATATGGAGATGACAAAGAAATTTGTTACAACACGTGCCCTGCAAAGCAGGAAAATTAATGAGAGAAGTCCTTAGTCACTAGAGGCTATACATACTGAACATAAGGAAACAAAAAGATGAAATGTAAGACCACTTCCAGTCTCTGGATACTTGCTTTGATCTTGTATTCAAAAGATCATATCTACCTAACCTCACCTAATACTCTGCTAGAAAAATGGTACATCTATAAAGTTCTTTCCATCACAGACTTGGAGGTTAACACAGTGTTTAACTCTCCTTCAGCAGGTTGGAACATTTCCAAGCTGTATCTCTAAATGTTAGTGCTTTGCATTATAGTTGTAGACTACTGCAAAAAATAACTATTAAGATTTTGGAATGTGAACATCAATTTACTATGTTGTTTCATTTGGGTTCTCTATTGGAGTTAATCGAATTTGTCTTTATCTGTTTTGGCCAGATGTTTGATGCCTACTAGAATGGTAAAAAAACCCACAACCAACCACGCTACTTTAAAGTGTCCCTAAAATCAGTTGTGCAGCCAGATTTCATTAAGTATTTCTGGTAAGGACTGCACACTCATAACTGACAGTTTTTCCCCATGTAGTCTGAGACCATTTTGAATGTTTGACTCCAAAAAGTCAGGAAAATGATTGCATCTCTGAAACTATTCTGATCTGATAACAATGGAAACACCAAACACAGACACAGAACACTGAACTCCTAAGGCAATCTGCCATTCCTCTTGGTTATTGGCTTAACCCTATAGGGTTAAAAGAAAAGGCAAGAAAAAACCCACATCCTTTCTATTTTCTGTAATAAAGCAGTCCAAGTCAGGCAACGTATAGTTTGCACGGCCAGTTTCAGAGCTGAATCAGGCTGCTCAGGGCCTCTTCCACAATAAAAAGCCATAAGGAATGAGATGGTGTTTGCTTATCATGGGATCAGATTTGTCTCCTTGCAGTACTTTTTTTTCTCCTTTCCTAAGTTAGCTTTATATGAAAATACAAGAATCTTGCACCCATCTGATGCTGTGCTAATTATCAACAAAGAAAATCTGTGTATTTGTTTAATGTGCACAAACAAATTGATGTTTTGAGATCATGATAAAAAAGCCAGAATGCTGCAATCTGCTATGTTCATACAGATCCCTGAATCTCCACTGTCCACGCAAATTTAAAGAGGCTTTTAGTAGGTTCCAAATTCAAAAGCAGGCTCCAGTTTATATTCAGGATTGCTGAGATATTTCAGCTTAGTCAGGGAATATTGACTTTTTTTATTTTTCAGAACCACCTTTGGTTTTTATATTTTTAAGAGTGTGATTTTATAACAGAATTTATTATTCTCTGCTTTAATTGATTTTGCTTGGCCTTTGTAAAGAAAGTACTGAAGAAGTTGCGGAGATTTTAAGGAACAAGAGGATTTCTAAGGTCAAAGGGTATGATCCAAGTAATGCCTGCTGACCTGACCCTTTGGATGTCTACTTCAAAATTCAAAGAATTTTCTGACTTTTTGCTCTCAGTCAAATGAAGTAAAAATTGTTTCCTGCAGAAGCTTATACTCTGCTTTTCATTTTAAGGAATAAACAGTCAATACTGAGTATTAACTATTTCCCAGTCAATTAAGCTGCAGGGGATTAAGTGTCTGGTAAGAGAAAACTATTCAAAATCTGAACCATGGTCAGCAGTTGCAGTGAGTTGACCCTTATTGAGGTGAAGGAGAATAAAGACTATTTCAGAGCCTGAGGTTCCTGTCTCTTCCAAAACTGACTGGAGGTGAGAAAGCCACTGAATGGTGGAGAAAAGCCGACACAAGGGCTTCCTGAAGCCAAGTTCATGTGAGTAATTACAGGCAACTTTGACAGTATAGGCACTAATCAGAGCAGGAAAGTAATCACTGATGCCATCTGAATTAATGAACACAGCATCTTTGCAGCAGTACACATCTTTCTGATGCTGACTCATCTCCAATTGTAGTGTGAAAAAAACACCTTTTGGACAGCCAGCCAGGAATCACACTGAGCATCTCTGCAGACACAAGTACACAAGCAGCTTTAAGGGTAAAGCTCTGTTACTGATGCCTGTGGATCAGTCACAAAGGATGACCTACAGCACTGCATTACAAACAAAGCCACAGTCTTGTGACAGGGGTGTATGCCAAAGGACAAGCAAAGGAAAAGGTTGGAATCCTACCAACTAATACTTTGCTCCTGCAAAAGAAAACCCTCATATCCCCACCAGAAGAGTAAAGGAGAGCTTCCCCCCACCAACAGCAGATACAATTGTGCTGATATTTAACTAAACAACTAATACACTGTCCCCACCTTCCACATACTTGTATGATGCCAAACCTTCATTCAGATTACAATGATGTAACGCATACAGTTAGACTGCTATCAAAGCCAGCAGCAATGGGAAGGGAAATGTACAGCTGAACCTCATTGACTGCTACTACTGCCGCTGCCCTCAGCAGGTCCAAGGCTGCAGGGTGTTAACATGAGATGGCAAAATGGAGCATGAGCAATGAAGGATGGGTACACTGGAGCAAGTTAATATTTCACTATGGTTTGGACCACTAGTAAGATTTCCATGCTCTACTC